TCTGTTTGGATAATTTATATTTATCTCTAAGCTCACTGATGCTTTATTCTAGCATCTCCACTTTTCTGTTGAACTCTTCTAGTAAATTTTTCATTTCAGTCATTGTATTTTTCAATTACAGATTTTCCACTTAGTTCTTTATTTTCCTAATATTTATTTATTTTTGAGAGAGAGAGAGCAGGAAAGGGGCAGAGAGACAGGGAGACAGAGAATCTGAAGGAGGCTCCGTGCTATTGCACAGAGCCCAATGCGGGGCTTGAACTCACCAAGCATATCATGCCCTGAGCTGAAGTTGGATGCTCAACCAACTGAGCCACCCAGGCTCGCCTGGTTCTCTATTTTTCAATCATTTTCATCTCCTCATTCCATTTTCTATTCACTGAATTATTGTCATCCACTTTCCCTTAATTCATAAATATAGTTCTTTAAATATATTCATAAGAACCACTTTTAAATCTTTGTACACTAAATCCAACATCTGAGAACACTCAGAAAGCTTCTTTCTATTTATTGCTTATTTCCCTAAATACTTGTCATACTTTTTTTTAATATTTATTTACTTATTTTGAGAGAGAGCATGAGCTGGGGTGAGGGGCAGGGTAGGGCGGACAGAGAGAAAGAGACTACCAAGCAGGCTCCATGTTCAGTGCAGAGCCTGACTCAGGGCTTGATCTCACAAACAAGAGATTATGACCTGAGCCGAAATCGAGTCAGATGCTTAACCAACTGAGCCACCCAGGTGCCCCTACATCACACTTTCTTATTTCTTTACATGTCTCTTAGTTTTGTTTTGTTTTCTTTTAAACACTCACCTTTTAAATAATATAGCAACTCTGGATTCTATTTTACTCCTGAGGTATGTTGTTTTGTTTTGTTTTTTGCTTAGTAAACTTGCTTAGACTAAATTTATGAAGTATGTCTTCACCAAAATGTGCAGCCACTGATATTGCCAGTCAATTATTATTTTCCTTGCTTTTATTTTTAAGATTGCCTTCCTAGAGATCATCCATGTATTTGTATAGCTTGGCATTACAAGGCTGTTCAGCACCTCAAGCTAGTAAGGCTTCCATTTTCTGATGGATCTGTGTGTGAGCTGGAGAAAATATTAAGCCTTTACATCATTTTCAATTCTTTGCAAGTTTTTAACTCGCTACCAGGTTCTCTCACATAATCTATGCACCTGCATGCAGGTTCTGTCAGCCAAGGATAGGTGGGTGACTTGGGACCTCTCTGGTTTCAGTGTACATGTGCATAGCCTCAGCCTTTAGGATCTATTTGAGACCTGAACATCTGAGAAAGCCATGTGCTGTACAAAGACTTTTCTTGTTTGCTATAAAGATCAATTAAGTGTAATTTGATTTCTCCAGAACCACCTTCCATTACACATATTTTCTGATAGATAATAAAGCTTATTACAAAGTAAGGGCATTCCACAGCAGAGCACCATCAAAAACTATGTATATTTTAATATACTAAACATTTGCATCTAAAGAAGCCTGATGCCTTTCTTAATGTTGTTCTTCTGTGCTAAGAAAAAATAAGTAAAAAGAAACATGAATGACCCCTGCAGTCCGTTCAGTGTCATTAAAAACATAACTTTTTAAAATGGCCATACTAGGGGCACCTGGGTGGCTCAGTCGGTTAAGCGTCCGACTTCAGCTCAGGTCATGATCTCATGGTTTGTGGGTTCGAGCCCCGCATCAGGCTCTGTGCTGACAGCTAGCTCAGAGCCTGGAGGCTGTTTCAGATTCTGTACCTCCCTCTCTCTTTGACCCTCCCCTGACCATGCTGTCTCTCTCTCTCTCACACAAATAAATAAAAACATTAAAAAAGCTTTTTTTAAATAAAATAATTTAAAAATAAAATAGCCATACTAGAAGAGGGTAACAAAAAAACTCTAAACAAATTTGATTTCAAAGGAAAGTGCAAAACAAACTATATAGCTACTCTGATTATTTTCTGAATTGCACTAAGAAGAAAAAAAGCTAATATCTAGTGAAAATAAGTAAATAAATGGGTGCCTTCCTTCTCTCTGGAAAACATATTTGTGACACCATGCTATAAAAACATTTAAGTATAAGCTAAAATTGACTAAAAGGCTGCCCCCTCTAGGCTTCAGTCACCAAATTTTGCCTCTCTATTTGTAAATTAAAAAAAAAAAATCTGCATATTTATTCACCAGGCATTCATTGATCAACTGTTGTGGCCCAAACACCTTACTGAATACTGAATATATAAAACAAAAGAGCTAGCCTCTGTGTCCTAAAGGACCTTACAACTGTGCAAGGAAGAAAAATGAGTAAACCTAAAATGTAAGTGTACAGTCAATGCCATGAAAAAGGAATCCCACCTGGAGGGATCAGGGAGTGCTTCCCAAAAGAGATGACATGAATAGTTGCAGAAAGATAAATAAGAATTAGGCTAGCATGTAAAGAAGGGACAAGGGGTTCAAGGTATAGGCAAAAGCATGGAGTATTTGAGGCAACTACAAGCAGTTTAGTAGCTGGAATATATGATTTTGAGGAAGTAGTGGGAGGGAAATCAAGGGAAGAAGACAATGTCATATCATAAGGTACTTATATCCCCAGCTGAGTGTTAAGCATCACTCCCAGTGTGATTCAGAAGTCTGTTGGATTTGGGGGAGGAGTGCGATATTTGGAGTCCCATCCACCCTGTGCTATGGAGATCTATTTGTGAATATCTTTTCCACTAACTCAATGTGTGTTATGAACATACTTAGAAATAAAACTAGCCACTGATTTTGCTGGTCCTTAGAAAGAAGAGGAAAGGGGAGTACATTAGTAAGCAGCATGAGTCTGGTAGGGCCCTTAAATTATCACGTTTAGAGGTTAAAGATGTTTGTTTGAAATTTAATTATCAATTAATCATTCTAAAATTGTCTATTTTCTGAGTGTCAGTGTCAGTCAATAAATGTAATCATCAGCACTTTCTTTTTTTCATTTTAGCTGTTTTCAGCTTAACCTTTAGCAGGTCATAGCTGCTTTTACTTGACATTTATTAACCTTTTATAAAGTAATTATTACTAGTTTAGAGCAGCCTGGCAGTGACTCCATGTTTATTCACTTCATTTAAATAATAATTGTGCTTATTCTTCAGAATGAAATATTAAAAACTCATCACTTCCTAATTTTACTTGTCTATTTAATTATTAGCAAAATGATACCATGAATACGTAGTTAGAATGCTATTTATTTAATCTTATATATTTCTCTAGGATTTAACATTTGAAAAGATAGTTATATCCATTTACAGTAATTTGATTCACAATTCAAGTGATATTTGAGATCACCTAATATGAATCATGGTGTTAGTAATCTTTACTTGATGGAAGTTGTATATGGTATAAATTTCTGTGTTGATTCATTTTCCATAGGTTCCCACAAAAAAAAAAAAAAGAAAGAAAGAAAAAAACAGTATAAAGAATATTGGGAAAGACTGTTTTAAAATCACATTTTTAAAAGAATATCATCTCCTAATAAAAAAACATTTTCAAAATAACACCAAAATCATTTTTCAGAAAAATTACGACGATTTAGATTATGTGTTTTAGCAAAAGGCCAGAAATCTAACAGAAAGAATTATTAGTGACAAGATATTGAGCCCAGATGGGTAACATGGCTCAAAAATGATGTAATTATTCAATTCCACTTCAGAAAATTCTCTTAAATTAAAAATTCTCCTACCTGGTGCTGTGGCCACTGCTGTGGTTCAAACTTTTATCAAATTCTTAGCAGACCAACAATGTCATTAAATGTCCTCAATTCCATACTCCCCATCTCGATCAGAGACAAAAATGATACTTCTACTCTCCTCCTTTAAAGCCTCTGTTGGTTGCGTATTGGTCACAAGGAAACAAAATCAGGTTACCTTGGCACATAGCCCTTCATGCCAAAACCAACCTATCATACCAACCCTACTTCCACTTTTCAAGATCAAAGCTAGTGTCCTATTTGTTTTTTATCTACACCATTTGGCCCAGTGCAGAAACAGTGTAGGATCTTGTAATTAGTTTCTATGGTTACTATAACAAATTATCACGGACTTTGTGACTTAACACAACAGAAATTTATTCTCTCACAGTTCTGCAGGCTAGAAATCCAAAATTGGTATCACTGGGCTGAATTCAAGGATAACTCACAGTCGTACTCTCTTTGAAAACTCTGGGGGAAAATCTCTTTCTTGCCTCTTTCAGCTTCTAGTGGTTGAACATTCCTTGGCTTTTGATTACATCTCTCCAATTTCTCCCAGCATGATCACATTGCCTTCTCTTCTGTCTGAGTAATCCCTCTGTCTGCTTTTCTCTTATAAGAATGCTTGTACCTAGATAATCCAAGACATAATCTCCCCAGACTAGGCATATATTTAGTACAGAAGAATTAGTTACAAAATGATTTAAGCAATAGTTGTCATTGAGGGTCTTGACCTATTAAAAAAAAAAAAAAAAAAAGTGATCCTGTGCATTGTGACACATATAATGAAAGGAAAACTGCTTGGAAGGTATACTGGTAAGAAAACCTTGGTACTTATTTAAAAAAGAAAAAAGATCCAGAATGGATTTATAGATTTGGGTTTTATAATCAAATAGGAAATGTTTGGAGTCATGAAAATTAGGAGAACAGTTTAAGAAATTATTGGGGACAGCTGTTCCAGTCCACTGTACTGATCTTAAGTAACTTATAGTATAGTTGGACAGACAGACACATATCCCACTAATGTGACAAATGCTAATAAAAAATACCCACCAAGTGCTTTAGAGAGAAGCATTTATCCCAAGTTCATGGAAGGTGCAGAGCAGGATACCATGCACCAAGTTTCCACCCCAGGGAAGCAGAACACGGTGCACTGGTTGCCAGGGGCAGGGAAGATCTCCAAACACTTCTACCTATTGCATCTTGGTATCAGTCACCCAGAAAAAAACCAAGAGTTAAGCGCTGGAGGGAACAATTCTTTACTTACTCTTTCTTTACTTATATCTGTAGAAATACATACAACAAGATTGAAGAATCAAACCAGCGCCATGACCGGCTTCAGGAGGCCCCAGAAATTAAGAGGCCCAAATTTCTGAGGCATGACTCAGCAGGCTTAAACAACCGCCATTCCCCCTGCCCGAACCAATCACTGGGGTTTGGGAAGTACCGGTCGTTCCCCCGCTTCTCGGCCGCCTAGTTTTAAACTCACCAATCCCTCTGCGCTGTACCGACCTCCGCAGCCACCCTGTCCTATCACATTGTAGTTTCTGCCCATCACCCTTTTCCCGCCCTGTCTGAAATAAAAACCTTACCCCTCCATTGTTCGGGGCTCTCAGCACGGATCCACTGCATTGGTGAGGCCTGGGAGCCCAAGCTTAAGCCCGAATAAACGCCCTTTACTTTTGCATACGTGACTCGGACTCCTTGGTGGTCTTGGGATTTTGGGGAGATCGCGATATGGGCATGGCATAGATCAACTCCAGTAGTTGCATCCGTCTCTCGTGGCTAGCAAGTACCTCTCCTCCCACTCCAGCAGCTGACACAGTGCAGATGACCTACAAGAACCCCTCTTTAGCTACAGCACATGGACCCCCAATTCCTCCCTTCATGAAGGCTAAAACACTGAAGACTGGGAGCATGCCCAAGATCCCTTACATATGCACTTAAGCATAATGAAAGAACACCCACTGAGCTTGAAACAGGAATATCACACAACATGATACACCCAGTACAGGCTGTGTGGGCTCTTTAGCCCCGGGTAAGGAAGGGTTCCAGGCTCAAGGCCATTCTTAAGCAGCCTGGTGGGGGTTGAAAGATTGCATGCAAGATTGCCTTTCTCAACAGGAGGCCTGTCAAATTTGTGGAAAGCAATCTGAAAAAAACAACATCTAATCTCATTCTTGAAAGATTAAGTAAGAATTTCCCAGGTAAAGAGGAAGATTTGGGGAAGGTGTGTGCTAAGCAGAGGGAGGGGCTCAGTAAAGAGGCATGGAAGTGTAGGAATTCCACGTGGTTCAATATGTCATTGAAGGCACTGAAGTAAAAAATAAGTATTTGGTTAATGGTAGGAGAATATGAGGTTGAAAAGTCTGTATGGGCAAGCAGAAGAAACTAGACTTTATAAGGGATGAGTTAGTTGGTAGTGCATCTGAAAGATGCCATGTACACTGAGAGCATTATAAGATTCAGATCAGAATGGATAAAAGCCAGCATTAGTCTTAAAATCATCCAGAAAGTGTATAGATTCATGGAATGTCTGGGACAGGTTAACCATCAATGTCCTGAAGTTACTGCTGTTATTTACAGGGTATTTAGTTTCTAAGAAGTTCTAGTTCTGCTGCTAACTAGCTGTGATGACTTTGTGGTTCTCAGTTCCTTTATCTCTAGACTAAAACTGATGTTAAATTAAATTATTTATTTTTAATCCCCTAAAATCCAAAATGCAGATTCAATAGTTACACCTCCATTTTCTCTTCTACCATGCAGTAATTAATACTACAATATAATTCATTTTTTTTATATTAGAGAGAGAGAGAACATGCATGCGCAGCGGGGAGGGATAGAGGGACAAAGAAGGCATCTTAAGCAGGCTCCATATGTAGCACAGAGCTAGACTCTAGGGTCAATCCTATGACCCTGGGGTCATGACTTGAGCCGATATCAAGAGTCAGTCACTCAGCGGAATGAGCCACCCTGGCACCCCTACGATTCATATTATTTGATATACTTTTAGTTAACTTGATTAACAACTGAAGAAAAATAAAATCATTGAGACTGTAGGAAAAGATGTAATTAAATTTTAAATAGAACATATCTTCAATATTTATGCCTTGTTCGTTTTTCAAAGGCCAGCACAAATACCTTTTATTTGCCTTTTAGTTAAGGCCCTCTTAGTTTGGGGCACTTACTAGTCTATATATATTCTTATTGTACTATATGCTCAACATCAAGAACTAAGACTATGTTAACATTTCCTTAGAACAAGGTCGTGTGTTTATATATTTGAAGCTAAAATTAATATCTATCTAGTCCTTATGCCTGCAGATGCTGCATCCTGGTAGGCCCTTGTTCTATCAATTTGTTTCTAGGTCAACAGTTTGCATTTTATTGTAATAAATGAGACAGTATCCTGACCTACCTGCCCTCCCAGTGTCAGTGTCAAAGAAGAATAAAGCAATTAAGTGCATAATTATATTTGATTAGCAAAAAGTAAGAAAACAACCTTTTGTGCCAAATAGAGAAGGTGCCTCACCCTCTGTACTCGGATTTGATTTGCCCAGGTACACCTCCCTTCCCTAGTAATATTCAACACCCTGAAACTCTTGCTCTTGCACTTTTGAAAAATGTCAACACTCAATTTTATAGCATTTGATTTAACACTTTTGGGGGCACTTTCAACCTTTCATAATTTATAGTCATCTCCCAAAAATGTGTGATGGGCACAGTTAAGGTAGCAGTCAGAATAAAAGGTCAGTATATAGATTGAAGTGTTATAAGACAGCAATAAAGATAATGGACTAAAAAAAATGCAAAGCAGAAACTAAGTTCTTTAGCACCTCATCAACTCATTATCACCTCATTACCAAATTCCTAAAAGTTCATCATTTTGAAAATGTGCTATGTTGCAACTTGCGTTAACATTACTTACTCCTGGAATCTTCCAAATATTCAACACAGTGATCTAAATGATAACATCAAATTGTTTCATCGTGCAATCATGTGTATGCATTCTCTTTTCTCTTTGTGCTTAGTCTATACAGATTATGGCATTTCCAACTGTGGCTTGGTTTCACATTATCTTACCTAAAAAATGGAGAATAGATCTCATGTGTAAACAACATATCTTAAAATACAAACATAAAATAAGTCGATTCTTAATCTTGTAAAATGTACTCAAAAGAAAACTCAATGTTCCTTAACATCAAAGGTTTAAGATTACCTTTGTATGACCCATGCCATTAAGTATGAAGGCATTTTCTTTTGGTCATTGAAAGTGTATAAATTATTTAGACACTTTTAAATGAAGGCATAACAAAAGCGTGGGGCATCAAGTTTCCTTCTTTTCACCCTAGAAACCAGGAATCTCAAATGCCTACTTTTAAGTTCTTTTATAAGTCTTGAAGCCATGCCATGTGAGAGACGTTTCATCTGAAGACAGCTCAGTTTGAAAAGATTGCCAGTCACTCATCTTGTGTTCAACAAATATTTGATAGATCATTCACTATTCACCATTCACACTGGAAGAAAAATACTCCCTCCAAGCAGTACAATCATAAGCAATGCTTACATCTAAAATAAGTTGAAGAGACTCAGTTCAGTATAAAGATTCTCTTTTTTCTCACAAAGTGGGTCAGGTTCTTGTAGTGGAAATATTATAGAAGAATGGAAACCAGGTCACCAGAAATGTGTATCATAATCATCTAAGAACTTGTTTTAAAAAAAATACAGGCCCATTTCCTGTGCCTATGGATCTGAGTTTTTGACAAATTTGCATTTTTCCATAGCAATTCTGATGAGAAACTAATTATAAGAGCTAGTAATCTAAACTAAAATCTTACTAAGATATAGTCATGTCTTATTTGTCTCTCTATCCTCAAGGCCACTGTATGACTGATTCATGTCAGGACTTGATAAATATTACTGAATGTCTGAATGATCAAGTGAATAGCACCAATATGTCAAAGAGAAAAGAAATTAGTTCTGGTCATGGATATCACAGAGAAGGTGGAACTGAAGTAGTACTTAAGTATAAGTACTCTACCTAAAAAGAATGATGCCCTGAAAATAGGTTTTTATGGAGCAGCCACAGAACAATGAACAGATATTCTCGGACTGGAGAACTTCCAGCTTTGCAACTCATACCACAGAGGAAGCAGCCTACTTGGCCAGCAACCTAGGTCCTCCCTCATGCTACTGAATTACTCTTAGGCTGCCAGTGCCTCATGGAATATATGTGTCACCACTGTACCATCAAAAAACTTAATTGCTATTTGTAAAACATGTAATTTGTGATTAAGATATTGGAAGATATTAGATTTCCATTTAAAAACTGCACTTAAATTGGTGTTAATTTAGCCATGTAATTTAGCATGAGACCCAAATGGAGAGAACAGGCAAATACCAATTTAATAAAAATGGAAGTGCTCCACACAGACAATAGAGTATTTCTTCACAAGACCAAAGACTAAGAACTTTGAGATGTATTATTTTTATAACAGCTGATAAAGTAATTTAAAGTAAAATGCTATTTCTACCAACAAAAGTTCAGTTTTCCAGAAAAAATAATATTTTTATGGAAGAAAGACTTCTCCTCTCCAGGATTGTTTGCAATGTAGATTGATCTTTCACTATGTTAATGAAGTGATTTGATAATTCAAGTGTAAAAATGTGTGCAAAGTATTCTTTATTGACCCACCGAAAATTTAAAAAATGAAAATTTGATGGACTATCCAAAAAACAAACTTGACATGAAAGACGCCTTTGCTTTCTTAATGCTTACAAAACTGGTCTATATTTTTGCTTACCAAGAACCAAACTAGGTCAAGATATATATAGATATATATAGACATAGATAGATAGATGATAGATAGATAGATAGATAGATAGATCTATCTATATAGACATATATATAGACAATGTCTATATATATCTCCAGCACTCAAGAATGCTTCCTTCTGTCCCCTCCCAGTCCATTTTTTCTCTCACCAATTAATCACTATCTAGTCAGGAGATTTTATTAGTAAAACTAAAAATAGGTGAAAAGTTGTCAGTGAAAGAAAGCTACATTTAGAAATTCTAGATAGTTTTGTCTTTTCATTTACTTTAAAGAAATTTACATATATCTCTTTAGTAGTACGAGCATTTCAGGAGATTGTTTCAGGTGTATGTTCTTACGAAAAAAAAATATTACATTCTCTATTTTGTTATCTTGCCCTGAAAATACATAGAATTTGTCGTCGTCGTTATTTCCTTCAACACACATGTGTTCGGGGACAGTTATATGCCAGCCATTGTCCTAGGCTCTGGGAACACAAGTCTCTGTTGCATACCAAAGTTTCTGCTCTCCTGGAGCTTCCATTCTAGGTAGTAATCTATAAATGTATAATCAGTAATCAAATAAATTTATAAGAAAATAAATAGGAACATTTCAAATGTGATCACTGTAGTAAACATGTTAAGAGTGATGATAGGGGGCACCTGGGTGGCTCAGTTGGTTAAGCTTCCAACTTCAGCTCAGGTCATGATTTCACAGATCATGAGTATGAGCCCTGCATCAGGCTCCACACTGTCAGGATTAGGATTCTCTCTCTCTCGCTCTCTGTCCCTCCTTAACTTGTGCTTTCCCCCCTCTCA